AGCATTTATGGAAATCCACAGCGGGCGAACCTGGTCAGCTATGGAAAAAAAAAACGAACAACATTTACAACATGGACATTTGTTATGCAGCTCGGCTGTGGGGCAAGGTGTAGCTTAAACTTGTTAATGGCTTCATTTATGTAAGTTCATTAGCAACAGCAACAACAACAACGACAACAATTTATTCTCTGCTGCTGTTGCATTGAGTTGACAATCGGCAAGTCCCGAGGCGTTGGCCATCAATCAAATCAACAAATGGCCAACTGACTGCACAAAGTTGTCAACTGGCAGCAAGCAGCCCAAAACCAAAGACGAGGAAATGAAATGAAAACTCAACACACACACAGACAGGGACAGAGACAGGTGAGGGGCGGCGCATAGCTTTGGCCACAACGGCAGTTGGACAATGCGCGCACCCGTCGCCAGCCAACCAATCAGGTAACAAATCAAGCGGCGTGTGACATGCAACTGAAGCGTGCGTGCCCACGAACGCGTGTCCTTTCATGTATTATGAAGTCCGTGCACAGACAGGCAGGCAGCTCCACCCAGACGGACTGGACGGACTGGCTGTCAGTGCAGGGCAGACGACTTGGCAGCTCGGTAGCTCGGCAACTCGGCAACTTGGCAACTTGCAGTAGCTAGTTTGTAGTGCGCCTCGCTTGACTAGGTTAGTTTAACACGTTTGCCTGTCCATTGGCCAGCAAGCGACCCAGTCTCGTCCCAGTCTCGTGCCCTGCTGGGGCACGTCAATGCCTTCATCATTTAATTAACTGTTTTGCCTGGCGTGTGCGAACAGGTTGATTGCCTGGTGGGCAGCAGCGTGGCACAGACAATGCACCTGCTACCCCCGTGCGCAAATATGATGAAAAATCACATTTCAATATGCAGCAGCAGCAGCCGCAGCTGCGACTCCTTCTGGCACACGTTGCATGCCACTTGATTGATCGCCTAGCCATGCGGCGACTAAACGGGAAATTTAAGTGTCACTCGAGCCGGATAACATGTTGTGGCCTCAAGGCAATACAGCTTGGCTGCATAGTTGGAGATGTGGCAAGAAATTTAAATAATAATAACTCAGAGGAGAGACAGAGAGAGAGAGAGAGAGTTTGACTGTATTACTTTATTTGCAGACACGTTTATAAGTATTACAATAAACTTGAGTTCAAGATTAGAAATCTTCTGTGAAGAGTTTTCCTTTGCCAACTGGCAGAACTTGTTTAAGTCGCATCGAGTTGATATACCCGTTCACTACTCAACACGCACACACACAGTTCAATTTCTTGAGTAATTTATCTCTGGCAGCAGCAAGTTGTACTCGGAAACACAGAGCGCAGCGAGTACAATGGCGCGCTGCGTTGCTTATAAGCTCTAACAAATCGCATCAATGTCTCTTGTGGCTTTGGCTTTATTTTCTTTTTAGTTCATCTTCTGCTGCAACATCACAAACAACAATTGCAACAAGAACTCGCAGCTATCAAATTAACAGATAAAGTCCTCCACAGTGTGGGCGTGGCACTGGTAGAGGGGGAGTGTAGGGTGTGGGTTGCGGGGTGTATGGGATTTGAGTTCGTATAATTTATAGTTGCAAATCAGAACGACAAACACGGAATTGTTTACGACTGCGTTAGGGAAAGCAAAGAATTTTCAGCTTTTGTAGATTGAAAAGAAATTCGGCGCGATATTTGCGGTGATTTATGTATTATTTTCGACGTTATTTGAGTTTATATTTAAAGCATTAGGAAAACAAAAACAAAATGCCGGCGCCGCAGGCATAGGGCAGAAAGCAGAGCGCAGCGAATAGATAAAAACTAAAACTGCACAATGGAAAAACAACAAAAAAAAAGAGAAAATGGAAGGGAAAACGAAGTTTGAATGTAGGTAACAAACAACCAACTGACAGTCAGACAGACAGACAGGGAAGCAGATAGCCAGCAAAGCGAGTGCGAGCGAGATGCAGCAGGAGAGAGATAAAGCGCAAAGGGCAGACAGACAAATAAAGCGGAAATGTTAACGGCAACGAATGGCGGCGCTGCTGACTGCAGCCGAGGGCAGCCATTTTATGTGGAATACATGCGTATTGGTGTGTGTTGAGTGTGCGTGTGTGTGTGTGGGAGACTAGTGCTTAGGTAGATTTCAGTTTGGTATTGTGTACATGATTAGCGCTTAATCACATAGGTAAGATGCTTGCCTTTGTGCTGAGGCTGCAATTTATATTTCTGGACATCCGTCGCCAATTTAAATTTACTGCCAGTTAAGCTGGCCAAAAGTGCTGAACAATGTTGTAGAGCACTCACGATAAGACCAACAGAAATGCCAACGCAACGCAACAGAACAAAACAGAGCAGTCAAGTATTTTCGTTGGGCGGAGCAGGTTGATGCAGCAGGGGCCACAACATTTGTTGACATTAATGCCTTGGAGAAGGGCTCGATGGTTCTCTCGTTCGCGTTGAAAAGCGCAGCAGTGCAGCTGCCAACTTGAAATCGTATACACTTATATAAGCACAAATTTCGTCACACACACACACACACACATTCATGCACATAAAGCAAGTGCTTGAATATTGTCTACACAGATGCTGCAGCTGAAAATAAAAGCAAAGAAGTGTCACTCACAATGGCACTGAAGTGGAGCACTTGGATGCACGCTCTGCTCTGTAGAGTCCAGCACATATATTCACACACTCACACACACACACACACAGTTGCACACACTCGCATAAATATGAAGTAAATATGTGTTGTTGTTTACTCAACAATCGGCAACAGGCTGTGAAGCAGCTGCCTGGGGTCGCATTGACTTTAAGCGACTTTTTCAATTATTCAAGAGATTTTCCTCGCTGCGCTTATCAAGAATTTAAGAGCTCAAAATAAACGAGAAATTGCCGAAACTTCCTTGGCACAGGGCAAACAAATCATATAAAACTTGGATTTGCTTGTAAGCTGAATAAAGCGAAAGTCAGTCATAAAGATTATGGTCTGAATGTATTATAAATGTATTAGGGCAGATAAACATGTTATATTAGTTATGAAGCCCTACAGCATTTAATTAAAGTTACTGCTAAATTTATTAAAGCAAAACTAATTTCTGCATGGAGCAACATAAATATTCGCAGCAGAAATGTGTTCGCTCTTCACTTTAACAACTTTCATTATGAACCTTAAGCAAATCGCAATTTTCCCCGCCGCCAGATACTTCATCAAGAGCTGCATTATATGCTGAAATAACTGTGTTTCGTTCCACCCAATTAAAATGGCGGCTTCAACTCCGTAAACTCAACTTTAAAACGTGCGCAATTTGTCAGAAAGTTTCATGAAGTCGGCAGCCATTATATATATATGTATATACATATATAAATATTTTCTTTATATTTATTTATTTTTACTTTTTTTTTGTATTTGCTGTTGTTTGGGATAGATTGTTGTGCTCTCTGCTGCGGCTGTTGCTGCTGGGCACAAAAATAACAATTAATTCCGGATAAACACATTTCCTAATTAAAAAATTCCTTTGTAACATGATGAAGCAACACAAAAACAAAAGCGAGCCAAATGAAATTAAGTAAAAACAACTAAGCAAAAACAAAAAACAAAAAAACAAAAAGAAGAAGAAGAAAAAAGAAAATCAACCGAACAGCTTACCAAGCTGACAGGCCAGAGGACGACAGACACACACACACACCCACATACCGAGTTAGACAAGAGCTGAACAAGATAAAGGATAGAAAATGTGCAAAAACTTTTGGACGAGCGCATGAAATGCGAAATTTGTACGAATTGCTGAGAGGTTTGTAGCGCAGTCAAGTTGCTTGCTGCAACACATGGCGTATACGTAATGCGACTTCAACGGTTGCCAACGGTGTCGCACGCGCTTTGACTCGACTCAAAGGCCAAAAATTTAATCATCTGTCGGTTACTAAGCTGATTAAGGTGGCATGCGACACAACCCCCACCATCCCTAACCCCTAACCAATTTAATGCCCGCTTTCTCTTTCGCTATCGCATTTTGTTCACCAAATTCATCTTTTGGCATTGGGAAGGATTTTTCTTCTTCTTCGCATTTGCCTGCAGCAAGTAATTTATTGTTTGTAGCGTAATTAACCCGCTTCGTGGTTGCGTTTTTCTCCTTTTCTCTCTCCTTCTCTCACTCTGTTTTTTTTTTTTTTTTTTTTTTTTTTGGCTTTCACACTAATGACGTTATACACATTTTGCATGCGACTCATTTGAGTACCCTAGATTTTAATAAAGTTTATGCCGAATTGCAAAGAATCATATTTAAGGTGCTTGAAATGTACTTGAAATATATTGCAGTGTATTAAATATCTTATGTTACACCTTAGCTACAGGGTATCTGCTGGCCGTTCACTTGCCGTTTACAGCTTTCATTTTATACACATTTCTTATCAAGGCAACCATTTTTTGGGTCAGTAAATGGGAATTTCATTTTGCTTAGGTGATTTAAGTCTTATCTGCGTGTAAAGACCTTAAAGTAATTAGTTTCCCAGTGGCCAGACTGCCAACCCATGCTAAACTACCCCAGAGGATATTTTTTCGCACTGATGTTTCACAAATTGTGAGCAGCTCGGACGAGCTCCATGTTGGGGTCTGCACTGACAGCATAGCAGTTGGCAACGGGCAACGGGCAACTGGCAAATGTCAGCTTTGGCTGCCCTTGGTCCGCCCCTCCCCAGCAGCAGCAATGCGAAATGACAGGCAAATTAAACTCGAGTGGATGACAGGCAACAGACAATTTATCAGATATATTCCTATATAAATTTAGAAGTGTGCGATAATGGCAAAGATAGCAAAAACACATTTATTGCTAAAATACATTTAAAGATGAAGTAAGGAAAACTATTTAAATATTTATGTGCACTATTTGAACCATGGAGTATTCGTATTTAGTTAAGCGCTCACTTCAGCAAATATGCAAAAAGAACATAAATGGAAAATCACATGTGTTTTTATTTTAACGAAAAATCGAGTATTCCGTTTATGTAGAAAATATCAAAAATATTGTCAGTCGTCTCGATAATTAAAGTTGTATTTTAGAAAATTTAGCATAATCTTCAGGTCTTTCATTTGGAAGTGTTACTGTTTGTTGGTGTTCTGTTTCGATTTTCCGACAAGTTTTCCTAACAACTTTTCGTTTTATCTCCTGTCTCAGAGATGGCTACCAATGCACCAGCCCGCAAGCCCAGCAACGTGCTCAGCAGCCGTCTGAGCTATAAGCCATTGAAATTGGAAATGCCTCAGCTTGCGCGCGCCTACCAGCCGCCGACCATTGTCAGTGTGAATGCCAAGGATGCGAACAAGGATAAGGACAAGGACAAGGATCGAAAACAAAAGATGGCAGTAACGAAGCAAAGCAGCAATCCAAAGTCGTACAGCAAGCGCACTGAGGCGCCAGCCACAGCCGCAGCTAGTGCATCCGTTCAAATGGCAGGCCAGGGTAAGGTGACGAAGGTGACGTCCAACGAGCGCACTGTGGTGCTGGCCAGGCACGTCGACCAGGCCCAGTATGGGAAGCAAGCGCGCAAGCCGAAGCTGGATGGCGCCGCATCGAGAACGAAGAATCTGCGGCCAACGCCCGCGGAGACAGCGCTGCCGACCAACAAACATGCGAAGGAGTCAAAATCACCGGACAAGGCAGACGCTGCTGCCCAGCGTCAGATTCGCAGCAAGAACCAAAGTCACAATACCAAAATCTTCTTCGATAAGTATCTGAAATTCGCCTACGATCTGACCACGCCCGACGGTGTACGCCAGCTGGAGGCGCACTTCTTTCCCGCCGACAATCACGCGAACAGGCAGACGCGAAAGAAAAGCGAGTCCGGCGATACCAGCGAGAAGCCGCTCCCCGGCGGAGAGGAGCGCCTGTCCAGCGTAAGCATGCACACCAATTCCACTGTTCAAGTACTGCAGCAAGGCAAATGCTGCGATGCCAAGGATAAATAGGGCCTTTCACGAGATCTCACATTCAACTCTGTCAAAATTTTATGGTTTTTAGATCGAAAAATTTGTAAACATTCGCAATGAAAATTAAATTCGGGCGCGTTATGAATTCAAAGAATCACTTCTTACCTATAGCTAAAAATACCTATAGCCTGTTTACTGTTCCCAAATTTATGCGAGTCCTGGAAATTTTGTGTTTCTTCTGTTTTGTCAGAAAAGTAAGCAAAGATATTTATGCCATAGAAATAATAGTGGCTGATAAAAGTTGTTTAACGTGCATCTATACGATATGATAAAAACTGGCTAGACTGAAGGAAGTTATCTTAAGAAGTTAGAGTTAGAGTTAAGTTGGAGTTGAATATTCTAACTTCTATATTATATACCTCTTAACTAAGTTAAGAACGACATTTAGCATTATGTTCACCTGCTGGACATAAGCCTAACAGCTCAGATTATAATTTATTTCACATTAAAGGTATAGCATGTTTATTTTTTAATTACCAGACCGGGACACATAAGTACTCTGTTCTGGGTCTAATGAGCGTTAATAATACTGCTGCGCCAGCTGGCTAATTCGCCTACCACAACAACAACAACAACAGCAACAAAAGCAAACATTTTTGCTCACAGTTTAAATGAAATTTATTGTCTAGCTGGTGTGGTCAGCCCACATGCAAATGTATTATCCTTTATTGCACACCAACACATGCACATACGCACACAGACACACACAAACCGCAAGCTCATTCAGCAAAAGGCAGACACCAACAGACAAAAGCAACGCACTGGGCATTGTAAATCATAATCAAAACAATAGAACAAATGAAGCTAATGTGGTTCATGCAAAACAAAACAACAACAACGACAACAACGACAACGACTACAACAATTGCATGTACATCATATACAGAGTGTGTGTGTGTGTGTGTGTGTGTGTGTGTGTGTGAGGGTTTGTGTGTGGGCGGAAATGTTGCTGTAAGCGTTAACTCTGACTGCCTCTGGTCGGGGAAAGCTTTAAAATAGCCAACAAATTAAACTATAGAAAATTCTGTAAATATGGCATAATACGCTGAAGCCCTACATAAATGGCATTCGGGCAGCACTTAAGTGCAGACTGCATGCATGTAGGTGTTAAGTGTAAGAGATATGTTAGAAATGCAGTTAATGGACTAGAACTGAATTGAAATACACTTAAAATGTGGTAGAATTAACATGTTTTATAGATAGATGATGAACATTATTCATTATATAAATAATATATTTTAAATATGGTTCTAGTACATTTTATGTACTGCTTTATTTTTACGTATTATTTATTTATATTTTTGTTTAATATCTGTTTTTATCTTTTGATGTAAAATAATATATATCTTATATATAATATAAAAGGCAAATGACATTTTATTCCACATTTTAAGTTTTTTTGAACATTTTTCTATATTTCCATGTGATGAAAATTTCTATACCTGAAACTAAATAAAATTTTCTAATTTAAATTTAAATGTGATCTTAGCAGCTTTTACGTACTTTGAGTTTTATAATATTTTGTATCATTTTATATTCATATTCAGTAAGTGTAATACATTTTATTTATTTTTTTCTCTTGACTTGAATTTTATTTATTTGATACGTTTTGCTTTTTAATCAAATTCTATGTGTAATATTTTTAAATATACATTAGTATAAAATATAATAAACGATTCAGTGCATTTTTATGGCTACTAATTTTGCATCATTTACGAAAAGGTAATGAATATTTCACTATTGATAATTGACAGGTAAGTATTTACATTGTCCTGATATTTATATATACAGTACCGAGCAAAAATGAGTGAATGTTTCACAACTTTGACTTTCATCACGCATAAAAATTAAACCATACAAGCAAATTAAGATTTTGTTTTTTATACTTGTTTATTAGTTTGTTYTTMACAAATAGAAAAAGTTGCAACGCTAAATCAGCTAAACTCAATTAATGAAAAATAAAAAACCAAAAAAATCCACATAAACTCAATTTTGCACGTTTCATAATT